ATATTGTGGGCTCATTATTATTATTATTATTATAATACAACCACTTTTATCATATGCGTATCAGTGTTCCTTGTGCATGATATTTATAAAAGTCTTGGATTTGAAAAGAGAAATGACGTTTAAGTTCCACGGAGTATCTATGAGAGAACACTCTCCAGGGAGAGGCAAAAGCTACTACTTTGACACAATACAACCGATTCGACCCACGACTTTTAAGAACAAATGCGCTAGATTTTGAAGGTCACAATCGAATTTAGTCGAATTCGGTCGAATGATGCCAAAACGGAAACTTTGATCTCCATGGAGGAAAATCTGGATGGCCCCAACTCAGTTTGACAGAAACCAGTTGGCAGTGTGCAGCCAGTATAATCAAAGATTCTCTACTAGAGAACCTTTGGTATGAAGGCCATTATTTAGACGGCAAGGAAAGGCTTTAGGGCAAGTGTGTTTTGGTATCATAAACAGTCAGCTGACCCGTCGACGGCCGGTACTCCCTCCTCCTCCCCGGCCCTCTCTCTGCTTTTGGGGTCTGTGAAACGGGATTTATGTCCCTTTCAACTATTATGTAACTGGCGAAAACGCCTAATTTTAACTTTTATCTCCAATAAAACCCATTCAGGTAGACGAAGAGCTTTGAATACTCTTTTCACAACCAGAGCTCGAAAAAGCCCTTTTTGAGATAGAAGGGATATTATGAGTTTAACGTCCTTCACCTTTTCAACACTGTCAGATTACATAGACGGAGTCTGCAAAGTCAATGAGATCAAGTAGGAGACCTCGATGAGCGATACATTTCCGAACCAATACTATGTTGAAAAAGTATATAAAAGCAGAACGAAAATATACATAGATCTATTCGTTTGTGTGATTTTAAATTTTTTTTCTCTCGCATAAACCTTATAATTTTGTTTCGAACACTTTAATGTACTTGGTTCTTGTCCACTGCACTGAGCCAGAATGACTAATTGTGCTGGCAGGTGACGAAAAGTGAAGGCAATTTTGATTTCCATTTGCTATAAATTTCTTTTTTCAGGCGAAAGAGATACACAGATTGATGGTTGTTGTGACGTTTCAGTCGACTGAAAGTAAACAGATTTTTCAAAGACAGACACGAGGCAGGTTCCCAAAAACGTGCATAAGAGGGACCGGAGAAGGAAATACACCATAAAATTAATCATTTGATGTATCAGGTGGGAGTGCCAATGGCTCTTCCATGCAAGTTGGCACACTGCATACCTGTGATTTTCTTAATGGTTCTCTCACTCTCAGTGAACTGTTTTGGAACCGAAGACTTTGACTGTTTGGACGAATGGTCCGAGCCTCAGACAGGTAAATTGGTACTATAGAAAAACACACTTAGTTTGCTTTATTGATTACGGTGATAATGAAAGTGTTTACAAGGGTGGAGGATTGAGTGTCAAAATGATCTGGTTGGGGCAGAAAATCTGCCGGGCCATATTGACAGTTATTGTCATCTCAATCCAAATCTTCAAAAAGGCATCACACCAACACCAAACTTTTTTTGTCCCTTGTCCATTTCTATGACACTGACGCCATCTGATTAGTAGAAAAATGTGCGTACGAGAATGCTCAATAACGTTTAACGTACAAAATTGTTATGACAAATAACTGTTACATATAAATGTTAAAGATAATTATTGATGTTTGTGAAGGATCTGAGAGCAATGATGACTTTAGAAATGACGGTGATGGTGGTGATAAGTGATGATGTGGGATCGTGCTTATGTTTATAATTATTAAGAAGACATGCTTCTGTTTTGGTTGTTGTTGTTTTTAAAAATAATGTTTGCGTTAGTCCTATCTTCCTCTGCTCCAACACCACACTTACTGTTGACGATTTTTTCCTCTGTGGAGATTTTGTCTGATCACTTGAGAGGGGAGGGGGGGGGGGGGGGGGCGGTTGATCCTGTGCTCGACTTTCAAAATGTGAATTTGTGAATTTAGCTGTAGAGACTTTATGTAGATACTACCACAGGCTTTTTCTTATTCACTATCCAAATGAAAGCAAGCCACTTCGGATTTTAGACGGAGCCTTGTCACTGTTTGGGGTGAACCAGACATTCATACTACATGTATAATTATAATGTACCTTCCTTTACCAATCCTACTGGATAGAGTAGGCGCACTGGTATAATGCAGTATATTGCACTTCAAAGGTCTCTCAAGTTTTTAATGTTTTCTTTTATGTGTATATATCACTATGGACGCAATGCCGAGATATTTTACTACTGACATTTCCTCTAATATTGACTTTTAACTGGTCATCTACAAGACTGTGGTAAGCTGAAAGCTGTTAATATAGACATATGTTCATCACTTTTTAGAGAGTTGTTTCGTTAAATGCTTTGTTTTGGTCATAGGATCAACGTTTTGCAAGCTTCCCTTGTACTGTCTGTACGCCTGAAGTGACTTAACATTCCTACCCATACGGATAAGATAGCATATGATGTATCTGTAATGAAGAATATCTTACTAAACATTTGGTAGTGTCTATAATGAAGCATATCTTACTAAACATTTGGTAGTGTCTATAATGAGGCCTATCTTACTAAACATTTGGTAGTGTATGTGAGATGGCCATGAGTAAGTTCTGGTGCCCCTGTCCTTCACACTACTTTTGGCCTTGAGATTATATCAATATTATATAGTGTACAAATGGCGATACTTGAAAGTTTTGGGTTAGTTCCCAAGCCTACATTGCTAATAAAGTAATTTTGTTTTGCATACGCGTCAGAATGAGAGCTGGACCCCAAACACGTCTTTACTCATGGGCCAAACAATGAATTACTTTCTCCAGTTCGTGGACCCTTTCAAAGATGATCGCTTTTGTGCTTTGAGAAAAGGGAAGAGTGACTGCAGCAAATAGTTCGGTCAAAACGTCGTGGCGCAACGTTTTGTCAAATATCTCCTTAACTATTGAATATAGACTCCAACTTTTGCACAATGACCCATATAAATTTGTCTTAACAGATGAATATTCTTTTTCAAACCTATACGCTGTATTCTAGAAAATTCCTTAATGATTGCTAATAAAAAAATCCACTTTTTAGCAAGACAAATCCCTACACTAAGCTATGGAAATTGTGTTTTGAGAACCTTTAGAGCAATTTATGATGGGGAACAAAACTTGAAGATTTTAAAACCCTGTTTAATGCATCCATGGACGGTCATTTTATTATTGCACTGGCACAAGTGTATGAACAGGAATTCTCCACAATTTCACTTTCCACATATCAAGAGATCGTGAATATGCGTGGGCTTAAGTTTTACCACTAAAAAGGGAAATAGGTGAGGTGTGACGCAGTCCACTTACGTATGCAAAATGTGTGTGACGGAGATTTGTAGTATTTGTATGCCTGTATTTATATAAAGAAATTTTTCTAGTCTAGCCTCAATTGTTATGGGGCACATAATGATTAAGCTAAGACAAATTATTACAAACTCTTGTGAAAAGTTTAGTTCTAAGTGATATTGATTCAGCCGTTAAAGAGATATTTGGGGATAAGTTGCGCCACGAACTGTTGACCGCATTGTCGTTTTGAGTCTCAGAATAGCAATGTCTGAAAAGTGCTAGCTACTACCTTCAATTAGTAATTATTTCCAGTGGATGAACTTGCTGCCTGTCCATGCAGCACTTAATAATTTATATCAATGAAAGCCTTATTTTTTCTTACTTTCAATATTTCTTTTTTTTCAGTTCAGGAGAGCAACACCTACTTTTTGGAAAATGAAACATTCACTGTCACCTGCACACTCCCTGCTTGTAATCGTTACAAAGGTTTCACTGCTGGCGACATCGGTTTCTACTTGGAGAAACGGGTAAGACTCCCGTGAACTTCATGTTCATTGTTTCTGCGGGTGTTACTGAACAATGATGTTACCAAGTAGCTAAACTTCTTCGTTCAATATTCATGCCTTAAGACATCAGGGTAATGTGCAGGGGGACAATATTATTATTATTATTATTATTATTATTATTATTAT